GAAGAGCAGGAGGAGGAGGAGGAGGACGACGAGGAGGAGGAGGAAGAGGAGGAGGAGGAGGAAGGGGAGAAGGAGGAGGAGGAGGAGCAGGAGGACTGTTCGAGGACCGCCGAGACATCACGGACCTGTGCCAGCTTTGTGGCGAGGAGCGGGGCACGGCGGGGCATAGGCTGCCTCGTTGCCCCGCATATGCAGGGCTGCGCCTACATCTTTGTCTTGACTATGACCTGGTAAACAGCCAGGACGACATCTTAGCCACCCGCGCTCTCGTTGCCAGCAAGGGGTGCGAGTGGCCAAAGCCTGATGAACTCTGGAGCGATATCTTCTGGAGGGCCACTGAGCATGACGTTGGGAGTTGGGCTTATTAGGCTGATTAAGATCAAGTCTCACCTCTCCCTCACCCGCGCCCGACAGGAGGGCCTGGCATGGCAACACGCGTGCATATCAGCTTGCCAAACTAGGCGCCCAAGGGCACCCAAACTACCCGCATATTAGGAGTCACCGCGACAGGGCGGTGGAGCAGAGCGCGTGGTTGATGCTGAGGTCATGGATAGCCTAAGCAAGCGCAGTATGCCCGATGTTGCACGCGTCAAGCAACCGAGACGTATGAAGAACGTTTGCGTCCTCGAGTTGGTGCCCGACCCCCGCGGGCAAGCCATCGAGAAAGTAGGCAAGGCGTACAGGTGCATGTGGTGCGGAGAGCGGGGGACGTCCCGAGCTCGAGCCTCTTTGTTTCCATGTGGGGGCCCTCCACGTGTCGCAAGGCAGGCTCACCCCACGCACCGACTTTGGTTGGGAGCTGGCCAAGTTGAGTGGTGTGCCGCGTGCGGCGCATTTGGCAGTGCTCCATCGGAGAAATGAAAGGCATCCTATGTAGGCGGAGCTGCAGACAAGCACGCGGCTCGGAGCCTCCTTTTGTTGAAGCAAGGTGTCGACTCAGGATCCAAGCAGGAGTTCGGGAGGTCGGTCCCCTTGCAGTATGTTCGCGGTCAGGGGTGGTGCCACCGTCCACCACCTGACCCCTAGCCTGGCACAGCTGGCGTTGGCCAAGCTCACCGCCCTCGGGAACTCGGTGCCAGGTGGGGAAATCTCTCCGTGTGTCTCTCCGGCTGACAGGGCGGGCTCGGGTGGCACCCGAGCCCGCCACTGGGGGGAGAGGAGTGTCTGCATGCGCGCGTGTTGGGCGCGCCGCCCTCCCCCTCAGCCTTGCCCGCTCGGCCGTCGGTCAGTCCCGCAGGGTTGCAGCATCATGCCCCGGCCTTTCGGCATGACCCCTTGGACTGTCCCATGTGTTTTTGCGATTCGGTCGCGGTGCGGAAGCTTTCGTGGAGGAGCCAACTGGAGCCAGCAAGAGAAGGAGGAGGAGGAGGAGGAGGAGGAGGAGGAGGAGGGGGAGGAAGAGGAGGAGGAGGAGGAGGAGGCGGAGGAGGCGGAGGAGGAGGCGGAGGAGTAGGCGGAGGAGGAGAGGGGAGGGGGCAGGAGGACGAGGATGGGGAGGAGGGGGTGGGCGAGGAGGCAGAGAGGAAGGGGGTGAGGAGTAGGAGAGGAAGAAACAACTGAATAACAATAGCCTTTCGAAGGTCTACGCGGATCTCCTTGATCGGCGATGGACCCCCCTCCCCGGCGCCGATCCTCGAAATCCGCGCGGACCTTCGAATGTTTATGTTTATGCAGTTTGTCCTTCTTCGAGTGAGGGGGGGAGCGGCAGTGAAGGGGGGCGGCGGCTGCAAGGAAGGTCGCTACCGGATCGGCGGGCGCAGTGGGGTTGCCGCGCCAGGATACACGGAAACACACCGCGGCTCGAGCCCGAGAGGGGCCGCAGGGGAGCCAGGCCGAGTCGGGGCGAAGATGGTGGTGGTGTTGTTGATGGTGATGGTGATGATGCTGATGGGACGCACAAAGAAATACTAGTACTATACGTCCTCCTTGGAGGCGTGCGTCCGACCCGAACACTTAGTATAGCGATATTGTGGTACATCGTTTCCCGAGCGGTATGGCCAGAACGCGCCCGCCACGGAGCTTCTACTATCAGATTTCTCGGTGCGCGCGTAGCCACAAGGGGGGGGCGACGCACACATAGTATTAGTATGTTGGGGTGACGCCGACTGATGGTGATGATGATGATGATGATGATGGTGATGATGGTGATGGTGATGATTCGCAGGCGTCCGGCAGACCGCAAAGCCCTGGTCGGGTTAGACCCTGTCCAGGAGAGGGCAGTCCACTTCGGACTGCTACTGGAGACGAAGCCCCCTTGTGAAGCGTGGGCAGTGGGCTCATCCCACTCGTCATTTGCCAGGATCTCTTGGGGGCCAGACGGGGTCGACGGCCTTGACGATCGAAGTCGTAGCGAAGGTGCGACAGTATGTCCCAATTTCCAAAATCCAGGTCTTCCGCGGAGGGGGAAGGTCAAAATCTCTGGATCAGATGAGCACATAAACGTCGGTGATGCCCGTGCGGTTCTGGGCCCCCTGATCACTGAAGCCTTCGGATCGGGAAAAAAGTGCCCCAGACCATTCGAGATTGGTATCGCTGCGGCCATACTGCCACGATGCCGTTCATAAGCGTGTTCCTCTCCTTTCCTCCTTTGGACACTGGGTCGTGCGCGGCGAAGTGGTCGATCTTGGCGTTGGTCGAGAGCTGCCCGGCGAAACGCTCAGAGTGGATAGTCCAGCTATGAGTGAGCTGGAGAATGCCTGGGATTGGCCTGGGGCCAAGCGTGGCGACGCATCGACCCGTGACCAAGCCGTACCACGCGCGCTCGACCAGTCTCATGGTGCTGTCCGCGTGCTGCTGTGTTCGTGGGCGTCCTAGATGTGCTGCGGGACCCTGAGCTGGTCGCCTCCTCCCCGCCGCCAGCACTCCGTGGAGGGATATGCCCCAGGACGAGCCTGGTACGGGGCCTGTGCCGAGACCCCATCGTCATAGACGTGCCGCTGCCGAGCTGGCTCCTCCTTGCGGCAAGGAGGAGCCAACTCAGCAACGACCCGCCTATTAGGAGGAGGTTGCCCATGAGCCCATGAGACCGCCAGCAGGACCCCAAGAGGACCCCGACCCCCAAGACTTCCACAAGAGGACTCAAGAGTCCCCAACAATACTTCCAAGAGGCCCCCGTGAGGCATCCCAAGATACCCTTAGAAGCCTACCTAAAGGGCCTTGTGCCCCCGACCCAGTCTTGGTGGTGGGTTTGACAGGAGGCCACCCGATAATCGAGGCGGCGATGGTGCCATGGCAAAATTACGACGGTGATGATCAGGTCATCGCGAAACGTCCGTTTCGACGCCAATGCGCTCTACGTCGTCCAATAACTTGCTTGGCGATGCGAGCTGACCATTGGCGCGAGGCAAGGAAACTTGGGAAGGGGAAGAGAGGGAAGGGAAAGCCGCCCAAGTTGACAGAATGTCCTGCCAGATGTTTGTGGGCCACCGCAGGTCCCACCATCGCTATAACAGTGGGCCGCACCATCGCGCAGACGCGGACGGTGAGTCAAGACCCCCCCCCTCGAGGAATGGCACTTGCACTTTGCCTCCGAAGCAGTGCCCAACATAACATTACGTAGCCGCAGCGTTTGCAAAACTGATGGGGCCCCCCCCCCGCGCCCGCGGGCGACCTGCACCGCCAGCGCCGGCGCACCCGCGCGCCTCTTCCCGGCAGGCTGCGCGGCGTGCTGGCCGCGGCCTCCTCGCCTGAGAGGCGCCAGGGTGCAACGGGGGGGGAACTCTGACCCCCTCGCGTCGCGACGAAAATCTTACGACGCTGGGGAGAGATCACCTCTACGAGGTCCCACGAGGAGCGCGACCATGAGGGCCAACGAACGAGGGGGACCGGCAGAGAGGGGGGGGGATGTCGACATGGAATCGGTGACAGATCGCCGCTAGATCGGCGATGGGCTCCCGATAGCGAAAATGCATTTTTCTGGGCGGGGTGGGCTATCGTACCCCTATCGGCGATGAATGGGTGATTGGGGGCCGCTACGTCCCCCCCGAATCGATGCTCCCCGAACTTTGTCCCCGAGGTCAACACGTGCGGCGGGAACGTGT